CTTTAGAAGCACTTGTGTCTAAGTCAGTTAAAATACAGGCATGAATACGATTAGCATGTACAATGTTGTGGGGGGCACGGGGAGGGCTGTGCAACACAGAGAAGACAAGTAGTGATTCTACAGCCTCTTACTACACTGATGGACAGTTACTGTAATGGGGTTTGTGGGGGGGACTTGGTGAAGGGGGGAGCCTAGTAAACATAATGTTCTTCATGTAATTGTAGATTAATACCAAAATAAAAATAAAAAAATACAGGCATGAGAGCATTGTGGCTTCAATGGCTTCTACCTGTAGTTTTCAACTTATAAAAATGAACAAAAAATCTTAATGACCATTTTTAAACAAAATAACTCTGAAGTACATCCCTATCAGTTTGTCTCAAAGGATGTTCAGAAACAGCCATGTATACACGTGTTCCATCTTCTACATTGTTTACCTCCAAAGATAACCAAAGTATCTACATTGCCTTCTCTGTTTGAAAACACTACATGGTATCTTCATGTTCCTGGTTAGTCTAGACCATGGTTGTCTTCCGGAGGGAAAGAATCCAATCAAGAGAGAACCATTTTAAGCAGCAGGAGCTTCAACAAGCAAGAAAGTATACTCTCAAGTACTCTGAAAACCAGATTACCTCTGGCTTACCCAGAGGCTGGTCTTATGTGACATTTCTGCAGGCAGAAGGCAGGTTAACAGGAAAAATCTGTCTAGTACATACTGGGCTGTGTTCATCTCACTACACTGTTAACATTTCTTCCCATACAGAAATCTTTCCCATCAACTCCAATACTTCCAACACTTCTGTATTTAAAAATCTAGCACCATTGTGTTCTTTAAATCCCTTTTTACAGCTTATTATGCTACATTTGTCAAAAACATCTAACAAGCTGAGAGATGCATGAATAGATCAGTTTATCTTCTCCTATGACTGGCATAAGCATGGCTGGGTTTAAGGTAGGACACCTTTGCACTGAGATCAGGATTTTCCAACAGCAGGACCTGGTATTTAAGCAGCCTACTGTCTGTAAACCAGTGGGGCCCTTTGAGTTCTAACAGACTAGATATCTGGTGAGAAATGAAAACTTCTGAGGGTTGTCCCATAGCTTGGAAGCTTCTTCAACCAAGAGGGTGGTAACTGCTACTGCCCAAAGATAGCTGGGCCAACCCAGTGGCACCGAATCCAGTTTTTTGATAGGTAGGCTACTGGGTGTGTGATAAGGCCCAAGGCTTGGATGAGTATTCCTGGGACTAATCCCTGTTTCTCAGTGATACACAGTTGGAAAGGCCCATCCTTCTTGGGTAGACCAAGTGCAGGAGCCTGAAGAAGGTTTGATTTCAATTTGTGAAAGGCCTTCTGCTCAGGTTCCCAGATGAGGGGGTACCCCCCTACCCTTCCCTTTAGGACTTCATTTGGGGTTTTACCAATAGTGCATATCCTAAAGTCTATAGTCTGCAGGACCAGGAAGACCTTAAGCTGTTTCCCATTGGATGGTGGAGACCACTGTTCTACAGCCCAAATCCTTTCCTGGAAGAGTTTGCATTCTCTAGGGGTTAGAATTAAGCCCAGATAATGAACTTCTTGTCTCAACAAGTGGACCTTGGTATGAGAAACCTTATATTGCTTGTCTGCTATGAAATTCAGGGTCTGCATAGCACCCTGCGTAGTTGTACCCATGTTTTAGAAGTGGAGCAAATGAGTAGATCATCCACATATTGTAGCTGTCCCTCCTCTAGGGTTAAATCTTTCAAGTCTTGGGCAAGGATTTGTCCGAATAAGTGTGGACTGTCTCTACATCCCTGAGGAAGGATGGTCCAGGTCACCCTTTGTCGTCTGCACACTGGGAAGCAAAGAGGTACTGTGAGGACTGAGCGAGGGGAATACAAAAGAAGGCATCCTTCAGGCCTAGGACTGAAAACCACTGGGTGTCTGGAGGAATTTCCCCAGGATGGCATAAGGGTTAGGGACCATCAGCTGGATGGGAATCACAGCCTCATTTATTGCCCAGAGATTTTGGACCTTCCAGTATTCCCCATTACTCTTTTTTACTGGGAGAATGGGACTGTTGCAAGGCAAGCTGTGGGGTACCCATAATCCATTTTTTAACAATTTATTAATAAGAGGCTGTAGTCCTGCCCTAGCTTCAGGCTTTATAGGCTACTGTTTCTTAATAGAGTAATAGGTGGAGTCCTTAACCTGTATCATAAGTGGGAGTATATCTTTAGGATTAATGTAATCCTGGGATTCATTAGCTCAGACCTCACAGTTCATTTGATCAAGGATGGTCTTCATCTCCACCATCCCAGACATCTCTGCCATACACGCACCCAGAACCTGAGGTAGAGCTGAAGGTCAAATTGGTTCACACCTTTTGAAGTATGTCCCATTCCAATACAGGGCTGGAGCAGTCAGGAATGCCTTGAAACTGATGGGAAGACAGATTCCCTCCCACAAGTAACTTAAAGGAAGAGTAAGCTTTTTTTATCAGGGGCTTTCCATCTACCCCCACAACCTGACAGGATTTAGGAGAGGTAAACGAGGTTAAGAAGTTAGCCCTGAGTAGGCAGCTCTCATATCAAACAGAAAACTTACAGTCCTACCTGCCATGTCTAAAGTTGCCCTGGGCTCCTTCCCAACAGTGGTGGTCCTTGATTTGGGAGCCAGCCTGAGCTGAGGGCACCTTTAGTTCAAGGCCGTGATTTGGTCAGGGGCCTAAATCATGTTCCCTTCGGACTTGTGGCAGTCCCTTTTCTAGCGGCTGAACTTACTGCAATGGGGATGTGGCTTATGGGGCTTTTTCTCCAGGCAACCCATCTTCCAGGGTCCTGACTACTCCCACGATGACAATTGTGGGGGAGCCTCAAAAACCAGGAGTTGGTTGTGGACCCATAACACTGCCAATAGTTGGGCCTGCCTCCTCTCTCTGCACTTTTCTTTCTCGTTATCCCTCTCTTCCCCCTCTCTATGCTAGTTGTCGAAGGCAGAGGAGACAGTCCCAAAGAGCTCTGTGGAGGCAGTATTTGGTCCCAAGGCCATCTTTTGTATCTGGGATGGCCTGGGTAATGGAGTGGTCATTCAAGACTAGCTCCCAGCCTCTGAATCAGGATCCAAGTTAGTATGTTTTATGAGCACCTCACTCAACTGCTCATAGAAGGTGGTGGGATTTTCCTGGGGTCCCTGATCTATAGCGGCCAGTTGCCCATAATTAACAGTTTTAGTTCACATTTATTCCTCAACCAGACAGAAAAAGAAAATGGTCTCTGGCTGCTAACCCCACTTAAGTATTATAGTCCCAACTGGGCTCCGTTTGGGGAATGGCCATTGCCCCCATGGGATATTGCTGGGGGTTTGTCATGGTAGCCGTCTCCCCATTGAGTGGTGGCACCATATATAGTTGCTCTTTCCACCTGGGAGAGTGTCTGAGCAAGGATAATATAAATGTCCTGCCCATTTAACTCAAAGGACACCATTAGGGGCCTAAATCTGTGTTGATATTTTTTTAGGGTCATCTGAGAATTTACCTAAATCCTGTTTTATCTGAGATCCTGCATGGAAAAGGGAGCCCTGACTCTCAAGGGAAGCCCAGTGGGTCCTGTTACCTCCTGGAGTTGGTAAAGCTTCGAAGACCCAAGGGACCCCGGTTAAGGGTGTAAAGCATCAAAGGGATTTAATGGGCATAGTGAAGGGGCTGATAGTGCAAGGAACACCCCTCCTTTGCCCCAGAAGGGGGCTCCAGTGGACTGGGCTTACCAACCTACTGATAAATTAGTGTCATCAGAAGACAAGGGAACTTTGGTAAACAAATTAAGCATTGCCAAGATGGCAGAGTCTATCCTGTAGTCCATGGGGAGTTCAGGGTTCTCCCTTAAATCAAACTTGGGCAAAAGGAACCTTGCCTCATTAGCCTACCTTTTGGCAAAAAAGATTAAATTGGAGTATGGTATTATAATTTAAACTCCCATTCTCAGGCCAGATTTCTCCTAGTTTATACTGTGGCCATGCTGGGTTAAAAGACTGTTTCCTTTTACCATCTGGGGATCAAATTTAGCCCAGTTCCTTAACACATCCTAAGAGCGAATTCTGAGGAATGGATGGTCATCAGTTGTCCATCTGAAAGAGAAAAGACCAGTGGGTGCAGGGGACTTGAGTCCTCCCCTGCAGCCCCTCATGAGCAAGGCATCCTTGCCCATGACTTGTTGGGCACGGCATGTTCCTTGCCCGGGGAGCTTTGGTCTAGTGCACCTTACCAAGTTCCCCACCCTGAAGCCATTGTGGCTTCCAAGTCCTTTCTCAGGCATCATTGCTATATGCCTTGTGTAGTTACCAAAGGTCCTGGACTGGGGTGTAGTCCCTGGGATTCAGCATCTTTCCAATTCCACCCTCCCCTTAAGTCCTGATGGCCCTGTTAAAGGATGACTTCAAGGATGAAACATGTGCCAGAGTTTCCAGTTTGGGGATTTGACCACTGGTGTGGTGGGGGAGGGGCTGTAAAGCCTATGGAGGAAGACGTCCTCAATCTCATTGGCCTTGCATTCCACCCAAGTCATGCTGAGGTCCTTGAGATCATAAGAGTGGCAGAAAGCAAGATGTTTAAAAAGGCAGGTATAAAGGAGGAAATCTAACTGATCCCTCTTCTGAGCCTGAAAAGAAAAAGGACTAGAATCCCAACCACTCATGTTCAGCACAAATACAACAATCAAAGCGCCTGCAAAAAGTGTGAGGTAGTGAAAGAGAAAACAGATCTCTGGGCCCCATCACCAATGGAAAAAGTACAAAGAAGTATCTGTGTTGTACTGAAGTTGCAGCTAAGTGAGGACAATCACAAGGTGGCAAGTAGAGCAAATGGAGAGTAGAAGCAATAATGAAAGGCTGAGTTAGCCACAAGTTAGACGTGCCTTCTGAGTCCAGCAGATCTGAGTAATGGCACCAGAAAGATGTTACTGGTTCATCTAGATCTTGGTCCTGTCTTCTGGGAAAAAATAATTCAATCAAGAAACTTAACAGTTTTAAGTAGCAGGAGTTTATTAAGCAAAGTGAAAATACACTCTCAAGGGCAGAGTAGGCTGTCTGGAAACCCTGCTATTAGGGGTAAGGATGGATTTTATTTCCTTGAAAGTAGTACAAAGTCCTTTCCTGTGTCTTAGGTCATTTAATTGACTTGTTGAGTTTCAGGTTATATAACGTTTTCCCTAGTGCACAGGTGCTCACCCTAAAGTACCCAAGTGAAGCTGGGGGGGAACAGTAAAACCACAATGTAAATTTATTATGATGGTATAATGAACGCTGCGTCAGAGACACTAACAGGCCCTGGTTGTTACCATGGGCGAGGGGTTAGGGTAGGTGAGGGGGCTGATAAGGAGGCCCAAAAGTCTCAATTGTAATTGGTCAAGGGGATGGTGGTACAGTGTGGAAAACAAGGTCAGTGACTCTGTAACATCTTCCTATGATGACAGATACTAATTGCATAGTGGGGATGAGGAGTCAATAATGTGGGTAACTGTTGAAACAGTGTCATATACTTGAAACCAATGTAAGATTGTGTATCAGCTACATTTCAAGTTAGAAAAAAAAAAGCATGCCAGAAAGTATTGATACTGGGGTTCTCGTTCCTAGAGTTAATGAATGAACTTCACGAACACTCAGGGTAGACAAGCAGGGAAGAGACTTTTATTCAGAGAGAAAGCTAAAGCACAGACCTCCTGGTACACTCCAGGAGGGGGCCAAGAGTGCCCATGGCTGGGCTGTCTAGGGGTTTTGTATCTTAGATTAAACTAAGTTGTCTCTTACTGGTTGTTGCCTACATGCTTAAACTGAATTGCAGGTTCTTCACTGGTTCCTGCACAAATGCTGGCTTTTGTTTATGACCAATCCCACTGAAGAGTGCCTATTTTCCTACTTTGGCATTTTTATCCTAAAAAAATCTGTGTGGCTCCAACTTTGCTTAATGTTTAACATGGAGTTTGGGTAAGAGTTTCCTTGCACATTATTCTGCCCATAATTATCCTGTTTTGCTTCTCCCCGAGATTCTCACCCTACTCTGACTATAGCCACAGTCCCTGTCTCACTCCCCCACTGTACAGACGGAGAAAGGGACGACTGCTCTGGCTGCTTCATGCTGAGAGGGGGCACAGAGTAGGGAGCACCTGGGTCCCCGTCACTGGTCGGCCTCGGAAAATGTCTGCTTCCATCTTGGATTCCATTTCCATCACCATCTGAGACTGGAAAGCTTGCAGCCAACTGAAGGAAGTTGCAAAAGCAGCATAACAAGGAGCAAAAACAGGCACATTAGTGATCTTACGACAGCAAGAAGCCAGGTGACCCAGGTAGTTCTTAGCCAGTTATTCCATCTGAGCTCCTATCTCTCCCTAGTCTTTTGGGCCAGGTTCCTGAGTTTGGTGGCTACATTTCTGACCAGGCCAGACTGGCTCTGGTAGAAGCAGCAGTGTTCTAGGAAAAGACAGAGCCCTCCCTTCTCAGCTGTGAGCACGTCAAGTCCCCTGTGGCTTTGTACCGGGACTGCTGCTAAGGAATTGAGCTATCTAGGAGCTGGACTAGGCTCTGGACAATCTCACCAAGGGATTCTTGGAGATCAGTGGATAAAAGCTTCAGAGTAAGTCAGGGAAGTAGCTAGACCTCCTGTCCCTAAACCCAGGCTGGTGGTAATGCCTAAGGCTGCCAGGAGTGGGATGACTTGTATTGCTCTCTTTTGTTTCACATGCTGAGTGCTGGAGACTGGGAGAGATTGATCCGGTGGGTCTATATTGATGTTAGGGGCAAGGTAGATGGGACTGCAAGTCCCAGTCCAATTTGTAGGCAAACACATATATTCCTGCGTTAGATATGCAAGCTGAGAGGTGGAGAGACAAAAGGTGGACAAAGGGATAATTCCTGTCTGGTTGGTTCAGCACTCCAAACACTCAGGGTAGAGAACAAATAGGCTCCTACTATAGGGGATATTCCTTCCTGTGATACTCGCGGACATTTTAGATGGGCGGGGGTTGGTGTTGATAACCATGGATATAAAGGGCTGGCAGGGTATGAGCAGTTTAGGGCTTCAGCTTGTAGGGTCAGAGGCCCAGTGAGACGTATCAGCTGAATGAAGAGCCCACTGGCTTCAGGTGAGAGGTTATAATCAACCCCGGTGTTCTGGTGGTCTGTGGGATGTGTGAGCTTGATGGTGAGGCCACATAAATTTGGAGTGAGGGATCCTATGGGTACCTGTCCATTGGTGCTTGTAAAGCACAGTGGAGCTTGAGACATGAGGGGAGCGTTGAGAGCTGTGGGTCCACAGACAGGAGGTGTCGTGGGAGCTAATTTCTTTAAAGTATTAAAATAGGTCTGATATGATAGGTTGGCTGCGGACCTAGGATAATTTTCAATCAAAGTGTCTGCTCTTTCAAAAAACGTGGCTCCCTCTTCCCCCTGTAGGCCAGGGAGACCTCAGGGAGGTGGGCTTTGCTGAGCGGGACTGCTAGAGCAATGTATGCTGAAGAAGACATAGACAGGCACATCCAGCAATTTGAGGCTGGTGATGAGTTGGCTTTGTACAGCAAGGACTGAGTAAGGTTTAGTGATCTCTCAAGGTCGGTCGTTTTTAGAAGAGATGTAATGGGGAGCAACCCACCCACAGTCAGGTCTGGATTTGGGAGAGGGGTGTCTTTCAAATCCTCATGAGCAAAACAGTTTAGGGCCAATGCCTGCTGACAGTCATGTTCCAGGGTTCCTTCCTGTGGATCCAGAAGGAAAGTAGCTGGATTTAGGACCAAGCATGTTCAGATCTGGACTACTGGTCCTTCAAGGAGAAGCGACTGGTACCTGAGGAGTCGGTTGTCTGACAACCATAGTTCTCCTTTAGTATTCAGGATGCCCGAAACAGCACGTGGGGTGAGAACTGTCAGGTCTGGGCCTCTGGCACCAGCAAGGCTACGGCTGCCACTGCTCGGGGACAGCATGGCCACCCCTCACCCACGGTGTCTGACTCCTTACTGAGGTAAGCTGCAGGATGTTGCACCTCCTCCCAGGGTTGGGTCAGGACTCCCAGAGCTATTCCTGACCTCTCAGTGGCAAAAAGATCAAACCAACTACCTGTAGGGAGGCTGAGGGCAGATGCCTGAAGGAGGGCCTTTTGTAGGGCTGTGAAGGCCTGAACAGCCTCTGGATCCTATTGTAGAGCTTGTTGTCTGTTCTGCTGGGCCTTTTAGTAGTTGGTACGAAGGTCTGGCCAATTCCCAATACCCGGGAATCCAGGTTCTACAATGGCCGGTTATGCCAGGGAAGCCTTGGAGCTATCTGATGCTAGGAAGGGGGCAGTGCAAAACTGGCTTCACTCTTTGTTCCCCCATGGCATGGAGTCTATGGGAGAGTCCAGGTCCTAAGTACCTGACCATTTGTTGGTTGATCTGTGCCTCAGACTGAGATACTCTGTGGCCACTCAGAGAGAGAACTGACAAGGTCCTGGGTAGTCTGATCACACTCCTCTAGTTTCAGCACAGAAAAGAATGTCATCTACACATTGAATTATTGCCACCCACCTTGGCAGCTGGAAGGAGTCCAAATCCTTGGTCAGCACCTGTCCAAACAGGTTGGGTCTGTCTCAGAAACCTTGGGGCCAGCACTGCCCATGTCAGCTGAGTAGAGGAGTTGGATGGATCTTCAAAGGCAAACAAGAACTGAAATTCTTGGACCACTGGGCTGCAAAAAAAAGGCATCTTTTAAGTCTAACACTGTGAACCAGGCTGCCTCCTCAGGGATCCAACAGAGCAAGGTGTAAGGATTAGGCACTACAGGGTGTAGGGGAATAACTGCCTCATTGATAAGGTGGAGATCCTGTACTAGGCGCCATTCTCCATTAGACTTCTGTATCCCCAAAACTGGTGTATTGCAAGGACTGTTACAAGGGGTCAGGAGGCCTGGTCTCTAAATTTTCAGTGATCACGGTGGGTCCTTTTCAGGCTTCAGGCTTAAGTGGGTACTGTCTCTGGTGGGGAAAGTGGTTAGAGTCTTTAAGAGTAATATGTACTGGCTGGGCTGAGATTGCTTTTCCAGTCTTCCCCCTGTGGCCAGACCTCAGGATTGATGTCCATGTCTGTCAAAGGCAAGCACAGAACCTCTGGATTTTCTAGGTTTATGTGCATCTAGGCCTGGGCTTTGGAGAGGGTATTCTTCCCAAGGAGGGTCGGGCTTTTGGGAATAACTAGGAAGGTGTGTGAAAATATCGAGTTCCAGTCACAACTTATAGGTTGTATAAAACATTTGGTCATCGGCTTCCCAGATACACCTCTGATGGTTACTGAGCGGGAGAAGGGAGGTCCAGGATTGAAAAGGAGGACAGAATATGTAGCTCCCGTATCCAAAAGGAAATTGGTGGTCTGGCCTTATACAGTCAGGGTTACCTGGGGCGCCTGTGGTATAATGGTGACGGGAGCCAATGTGGGCAGCCTGGGCCCCTTCAGTCCTGATCCTGGTTTTGGGACCCTGACCCCAGCTGCCTATGCCTCTGAGGGCAGTCCCACTTCCAGTGATCCCCCTTACACAGAGGGCAGGGCTTAGGTGGCCAGGCTCTACCTGCACAATCCCACTTGGAATGTCCTTCCTTACTGCAGAGGAAGCAGACCCCTGGCCTTGCTTTCCTACTTCCAGTTCCCTGAACCTGCAGGCTTACCCCTTGAAGGGCTGTGGCAAGAGCCTCCACCTTTTGCCTTTCCCTTCTGTCCTGTTCCTTCCTTCCCTCTTCATCGCGGTTATAAAAGACAGTGGTAGCAGTTTTCAAGAGGCTTTCTAAATCCTGGTTAGGGCCAAATGCCCATTTTTGTAACTTCCTCCTGATTTTTACGGTTGACTGGGTGATAAGTATGTCCTTGAAAATGACTTGGCCATCTACTGACTCTGGGGCTGTAGGTGTATGTTTAACGCTTCCCATAGTCCAAAAAGTTAGAGGGGATCTGTTTCCCTGAATTGTATCAGACAACTTGGGAGTAATTCAGGGGCTTAGTGGCGGCTCTCCTCATGCTCTCCACCATGCATATGATGAAGGGGTTTGTATCCCAATTACCTGCATCATCTATATCTGGAGGTCACTTAGGATCACTTAACAGCTTAACAGCCTGACACCCCATAGGATATCTGGCCAGTTCTCTCCTGACCTGTCCTGGGTGTTTGCTGCATACCACTCATCTCCCCATTCCTGAGCACTCTTAATCACTAAATCTTTCTCCCCTCCATCAGGGTTTGATTCAGCGAGTATGACATCTCTCCAGGTTAGCTCAAAAGTGTGAGTATGCTTTGGAAAGCCTCTATATACTCATTAGGGTCATCTGCAAACTTCCCTTCATCTGTCTTTATCCGCCTTAAGTCTTGAAGGGAGAAGGGGACATGTACCCTCACTGGTTCCTTCTCTCCATTCGCTACTTTCTGTAAGGACAGCAGAGGAAGGTGGGCTTTTTGCTAACAGCGGCCCAAGGGCCAGTCTCTTGGGCTTGGCTCCCACATTAGATTCCAAGCTGGTTAGCTATCCTCCTCCAGGGACCCAGGATGTGCAGGGCAAGAGGGGGCCAAGGAGTAGGCAGCTGTTGAGGTGCCTAAGGTGGGTGTTGAGCCCACAGGATCTACACATGTCTGGCCTGTGCCTGAGTGCAAAGAAAGCATGTATGTATGGGACCTCCGACCATTTGCCCTCCTTATGACAAAAACAGGTCTAACTGGAGATGGTGCTATAATTAATACTCCCCTCCGGTGGCCATGTTTTTCATCAGATAATTTATACTGTGGTCATGCTTGGGTGCAAAACAAAATAAGATGCCTCTTCCTCAGGCTCTGGGGATCAAACCATCCCTGGTTCTTCAAGATACATGCTAGCAGCATGCCTGGTTTGAGGCTTCAAGAGGAAGCTCCCAGCTGGAAGAGACAGAGACTGGTGTCCAGCACTTGATCTAGCCTCCCGAGTGAGGGCGTCCTCTCATAGTGGGAGTCTGGGTGATAGTGGTTTGTAACCCTCCTTGGACCTACTGGAATTAACCACTCCTTACCAATGTGACCTGCACTATTCCCCTGCCTGAACCATTAGAGCAGGGGCATGAGAGACTGGACTTAACGGGCCTTTACTGGCATTCCCTTCATCGCTGAGCACCTTTTCCCAGTGCTACTTCAGTCTGCCAGAACCTATTATACCTGTGGCATGCATGGCAGTGGAGGTGGAGGTTTAGTTCTAACACCACTTGCTCACTATCAGTCTGCCTATGATCCCAGGTGAGTGCCCAGAGTGAAGCAACTGTTAGTGCTGTTGGCTGGAGTCCAGAGTCCTAAGATAAGTAAATAATTTGGCTGGCCGCTAGACACCAGGCACAGCCCCTGGCATTGAGTTGGAGGAGAATAAGGTTCCCAAGGACAGCCATGACATCCAATACGCTCTGCATTCTCTATGACCTAAAGCTCCCAATTCTGCTGGGGAGGGACAAAAAATGAGGTGCCAGAGGCTCTGGAGCAGAACTTTGGGGCCTATGGAGGGGGAAGGCCATAGGGGCCAACCTCCGTGATGTGGTGAGCACCCAAGACAGGGCTCATCTCTGCCCCTGCCCGCCACTCAGGGAGGAGGAGATGGCAATCCTCTGGCCTGACTCATGCCACCACCTCCTGGAGAAAAAAGGGGATCTAAAATGCGGGCCCTGAAGAGTGGAGGAGACCTCATCCTCTTTATTCTCACCAGGCGACCATGCAGGTAGGGACGTTAGGAAAGAAGGCTGCCCAAGCTCACCAAGTATCTGGGTTAGCAAAAAGGTCAGAGAAAGGGACTACTAAGCCCTGTTGCCTACATCAGGGCGGTGAGCCTCAGATCCCAGAGACCCAGATGTACAGGTGGCAGGGAAAGGGGTAATCACTCTCCGCTGGAGTCAAGGGAGCCCAGATGAGCAGACTACTAGGAGGGAAAGAAGCGGTTCCCTGTGGATGCCCAGTTGGGCAGTCAGGGTCTGAGTTCTGATGGGAGATCTTGGAGAGCCCACCCAAGTGTAGCCTTGGCCAAGGTTCTCACAACCTTGCTTCCCTCAGTCCCTTGCATCCAGGGAGATCTTCAAAAGAGAGTTCTGGTCCTCACGCTGCCGACATTCCCAACTCCCAAGGGAGATGGGGATCAAACAAGGGGGACTCAGAGGAGCCTAACACCCAAGACTTGAGATCCGCGGCCAACCTAGTCCTATAGCCAATGGGTGCCTGGTATCTTAGGCCAAGGAAAGCTTCTTCATATGAGAGAAAGAGAGAGAGGAAGAGTCCAGCTGCCGATACCTCCAAAGGATGATTCCGGACAAGAACCCAAAAGATGACCCTGAGGTTCCTGTCACGGAGCTGAAGAATGACTTCCACAAATGCTCAAGGTAGGCAAGCAGGGGAGAGGCTTTTATTTAGAGAGAAAGCAAAAATACAGAGCTCCCGGTGCATGCCAGGAGGGGAGAAGAGTGTCCGTGGCTGGGCTTTGTCTAGGGGTTTATATCTTAGGTGGAACTAAACTGTCTGTTTCTCACTGGTTCTTGCCTGCATGCTTAAACTGAGTTGCGGTTCTTCACTGGTTCCTGCACGATGCTGACTTTTGTTTAACCAATCCCACTGAAGAATGCCTATATTCCTACTTGGGTATTTTTATCCTGAAGACTCTGTATGACTCTTAACTTTGCTTAATGTTTAACACAGAGTTTGGCTAAGAGTTTCCTTGCACATTGTTCTGACCGTAATTATCCTGTTTTACTTCTCCCCAAGGCCCTACAATTACCATTTTGCTTGTCCCTGGCGGCCCTCACACTACTCTGACTAAACCCATGGCCTCTGTCGCAGTATCATCAAAGCTAAGGTTAAGTTTAAATTTATCACTGCCATTAACTGTATAAAAATATCTCAAAGGTGGTCAAACTAAAAGAAAACTTTCTTCTAGTTCAACTGTGACTCCAGACAGGATCCAAAGAGGAGTTTTACAATCCCTTCTCTGGGTTTTATGGAGACTTTCTTTACCCTTCTGTGTTAGCCTCTTAAGGTACAGCATCAACCTTAAAAGGGCACAGGAAAGGGAAATGTGTGTGTTGGGGGCGGGGAGCGGTACTCTACCTTCCGCGTGCCTCTCTCATCAGCAGTCAATATCCCCGTCTCAGCACTTTCTTTACCAAGTCCGAAAATCCCCTAGAAGCGACTGGTGTGCAGGGAGGAGCCCACGTATGTAAATTTCCCTTACGTTAAGGGAGAGACGAATTCCGGCCCTTGCACCAATTCCCCTCTGGTCGCCATTGGCCACGTGCTCGGTGGGCCATTCATTTCATTTCACTCAAGGATGGGAACATACCTGTGCGTGGAACTCCGCCGCTGCACCCCCACAGATGTTGGAGACAAACTCCCCGGGTCCAGGGTCGGTTCTGGATGGGCTCTGGCCGCCTCAGGCCGGCCCGGCCCGGAACCTGCTACACAGTAGCCACGGCTGCGCGCTGGAGGACCAAAGCGCAAAGTTGTCACCGCACCGGGCCTGCCTGCGGACGGCCGGGCGGTGGTCTGTGCCTCGTGCAGCTCCGGGACGGGCACGGCCGCCTGCCCCCCGGGACGCCGAGGGCTGCTCTACCCCTACGTTCCGCTGCTCCGGGGCTCTGGGCGGGCGGGCAAAGCTCGAGGGGACGCAGGGCGAGCCCACCCCCAGCCGGGCCCGCGGGTCGGGCGCCCTTTCCGCCGCCTGCCATGTCCGGCGCACTCCCCACTCCAGCTCGCGGGACCGCGGCCGCTGGGTAGTCAGCCGCGCAGAGACCCGGAAGGCGGGGAGGGGAAGGAGGAGGGCCGGGGCTGACAGCCACTCCCCGGAAAGCCTCCGCACGGGGGCGGGGCGCCCCCATTGGCGCCTGCCGAGCCCGCCCAGGGCCTTCCGGCCCTTTCCTCGGCGGCAGGGCGAGCTGAACCTTCCTAGAGTATCCTCCTTGGAGCCTCTGGCAGGCCTGGCGCCTTCCCTTGGCCCCCCCCCGGACCTGGTTCTGTCAGGCCAGCGTGCCCTCCTCGGGGACTCTCCTGGCGAGGCCTTCGCCGTCACCGTAGGGCAGGGCCACTACCCAGAGATTCCCCTTCTTGCACCTACACTAGCCCACTACGTGTTTAGAGCCTGCCTTGCTAAATCAGAAGCCTGAGGAGAAGCCGAGACGTCGTCTGTCAACAAGCTCACCGATGGCCCCTCCTATACCTGAGAGGTCCAGCCTTTCTTTCTCAGGCTCTCTGCTCATTCATTTACAGGGTGCAAAAGGCAGACCGCAATGACGGGGGTGGGATGAGGGGCACTATAAACCTTCCCTAGGTGACATGCTCAAACTTGGCAAACAAGTGGAATAAAATTGGAATATATGCTAAAGTGAGAACTTTTGTTACCAATCTAAGAACTTACTGTTAACAAACTTAATCCTCCAAATATCTTTTATCGTCTCTGTTAGGAAAATATACAATGCCTCCCCAACCTCTCCACTTTGTGAGTGGGGAAACTGAGACATGTGGAGTAACTATCCAAGGTCACAGAGAAGCTAGAAAGTGATGAATCCAGAATTTCAGCTCAAACCGTGAAAGCATAGGCCCTGAAAACACTATACTACACTGCCTCTCCCAAGACGTGGTAGGGGCGGGAAGGGAAATAGAGCAATCCCTACCTTTGATGGGCTGATCAAAATAGGCATCTCCCAAGTAGTTTGGCTTCTACAGGCACAAAAATAGCTTTCTCTAGATCCCTGACATAGACTGCGAAAGCACTTAACCTGTTTAGGACCCCACAGTGTAAATGGAATTTAAGAATGTAGGAGCAGAGTGGCCTGAGAGGAGATGGCTCCCTGCTGGACCCTACAGGAGGCCCTAGTAGAGTTTATATTTTATGAGAAGAGCAATGGAAAGTTGTTCAAGTGGCTTTAAATGGGGGAATAATAGGATCTGACAGGGTGTGGTTTAGGGTGTGATTAAGATGATTTTGGTAAGGAGAGGACATAGAGTAAAATTTATCAATAAATCCTAGCATACAGCCACTACTTTACAGATGTTCATGACTGTGGTAAAATGGGTTAAAGCGGCAGAGGTGACATGAGTGTGCTGCCCTCCACCTTTCTTGTCTCAGAGTCATCCAAACGTGTCTCGAGTCTAAATCTGTCCTTTTTATAGTCACTTTTGGATATCTGAGAGGCATTGCCTTCCTTAATTATGTCAATGAACCTGGGCAAGTTACATGGGAAGAATCTTAGACAAGTAAATCTCAGGAAAGAGACTAATGTGGTGAGCTAGTGGAGATTGGGAGTAATTGTGCAGAATGTCTTCCTCCCAAATCAGGTGATAAAAATCGAAAGAGGTTATGAAACAATTATAATAAGGTTTAACTGGAACTAAAGAGAAATTAGCCTCAATCACACATTCACACTCTGGCAAGATACCTCAAGTCAGTGGAGATGACAGCTGCAGTTCATTTGAAATGGTAAAACTGTTTCCTTGGCTTAGAAGAGGAATGTCTTCTCAACTTAAAAAAATTTTTTTAAATTAAAAATACAGAGATGATAGAGCAAAATAAACCCGTTGCATAACTGCTTGTGAGTTAAGTTCAGGATAATCTGTATTTGGTATTAAAAATGCTTGTAATTCAGTTCAAAGGAAGTTGAGTGAATTGGTTTTATTACTGAGCCTGATTATTTGAGAAAAAGTAGTCTATCCAATCTGAGTGATTTTGGTTTGACCTAGAGGATCAGGGATCTAGGCGGAAAGGCACAGGAAATCTGTTGACTGTACTGTTGGGCATGTATCTTTGTATTCCCCCAACCTACCATCTCAATAAACAGGTACTTCTCCCCAGACCACCATGAGACCCCTCTCCTATGCACCAGGCTCCGTTCCTGCCAGTCTCCTCAGTCTCCCAAGTTATTCATATTTTTTACTCTCTCTGTCTCTTCTCTCACTTCCTCTCTCTGGCTTTTAGCTTTTCTGTGTATATGTATTCTCTCTCTCTCAACCTGAATAAACTTTCTCTCCTTCAAATGTCCCCCAGCCCCCAGATACCACACCCTTTTCCCCTTCCTAACAGACCTTCAGAAGACAATGTGTATACAGGTCTCCCCTGCCTCAGCCTTGTTCACCCCTCAGCTCCTGTAGTCTTTCTTCCTCCCTTTTTCCCTTAAATTGTGCTCTCCAAGGTCACCAGTGACTCCTGGTGACCAAATCTAGTGGTCTTTACCTTACCGAGGCTCTCTGTGGCATTTGACATGACTGACCACTCTTTCCTGGCTTCCTGTTTTTCCTCCTATTCTTGTGGCCCTACATTTTCTCTTTTGTCCCATTCTTCAAGTGTTGATTCTGGCAACATTCGTTCTCAACTCTCTTCTCTTTTTACTCTGTACACACTTGCTGACCAACTCCTAGGAATGGCAATAATGAAAGTCATTTACTGATACCTAAAATAATTCTGCAAGTGAGATACTGAGAATATTATTAGTAACATCGAATGAACACTTAGGAGCCAGTCATAGTCTTTTACATAAAAATATTGACATCACTTTAGAGATTATAAACTGAGACCAAGAAAGACTAACTTTCTCAAACTACACAATTCATGGTGAGCTAGGATTCCAGTCTGGACTCCCAGCCTGTCTGCTTTCCCCCACCCAACACCACCTCCTGTGCAATGGTGGTCCTTCAGCCTAGACTGGCTTCAGGTACTATATACCCACAAGCTCTCCACAATTCTCATCTGATCTGTATGAATCAGAGGCAGCTAACCCAGAACTCAGCCTGTCCCAAACATAGTTCACTCTCTTCTTCCAATCTCACACTTCTCTTTGTGTCCTCTGTCTTGATGAATAACAAATCGTGAGCCCAGCTGTCCAGGACGCAGCAAGTGATTTTCCGTCTGCCTCCTCCTCTGCCTCTCAGCCTCCTGTTTGCTCATCTCCTTCTATTCAGTCAATTCTTTCTATTTGTGGGTAAAATTGTAATATTTCCAGAATATCTCACCTGGCTGTAGAACTGCACATCAATAGGCATTCAGAGGTGGAAAGAAGTATGGCTTTAGTGCATTTGCATCATTCCTCAGGGGTGGAGAGAAGTTCATCTCCATATCAGTGGGTAATTACCTGGGCAACAGAAGGCTTATCTGTACCTGAGAGGTGAGGGGGAAGGTCAGTTTTGCTTCTGCTGGAGCAGGAGAGACAGTCCAGGACTGCAGTTTGTGAGCAATAAACTGCATTTTACTGATTTCTCCATTTTACTGATTTCGGTTTTTAGAGGTATTTTGCCCCGGGATTTCCTCTCCTGGGACTTACACTACTGCTCATCACATGAGTCTTCCCTGTTCTCTCCACCCCATCTATACTTTTCTTTGGACTCACATCATCTACTGTCTGGCTCACTGCAACAGCCTCTACTCAGCTTCCCTGCATCCAGTCTTCCCTCCCCTAGCACATCTTCCACATTGCTGTCATCTACACTGGAAATCCTGAAATGACTCTATTGCCACCAGGATCAAGAACCATCCCCAGTCTTTCTCCCCTTCCCCCTGCACCATCCCCCTCTCCAACCTTCCCTGCCTATTATGATCCAGTCATGATGAACTATTTGCTATTCCCTGAATGCTCTGCCCAGCTCTGTTCAGTAGAACTCTCTGAGATGATGGAAATGTTCTATACCTGTGCTGTCCAATATGGTAGCCACATGTGGCTACTGGGTACTTGAAATGTGATTAGCACAACAAAGGAACTGATTTTTCAGTTTTGTTCACTTTTAACTAATTTAAATTTACAGTCATGTGTGGCTGGTAGATACCGTGTTGGACAGCACAGCAGTTTCTATCTCAAAGTGTGGTACAGAAAGTTGGACGCCACCTGGAAGCTTGTTAGACATGTAGAATCTCAGACTTCATCCTAGAGCTGCTGACTCAGAATCTGCATGTCAACCAGGTCCCCAGGTAATTTGTATGCACATTAAAGTTTCAAGTGTTGCTTTCAGCCTTTTGCCTTTGCTGTTCTTTATTGGGGCTACCTGTCTCCTCTCCTTTTTTATCTTCTATTTATCCTTCAAGACTCAGAATCTACAATCACAATATATTCTTAATATAGTTATCTGGAGGATAGGATGAAGCAGGTAGGTGCAGAGGAGTGAGAGGGAGAAATACAGTGTCTACGATAAATCCGTGTATTTTGTAATCCCAAGTACCTATACATCTATATTATCGCGCCCGCTTCCTGTGGGTCTAGTCGAGGCGATCACAGGAGACCTGGTTCGGTTTCAATCAGCTTTAATTTCTTCTCACAGGCTTCTCCTTCTCACAGGTGGTGTTACAGAAAGATTTCAGCTTGCACGCAGGCAAGTATGAGTTAGAGCTCTTTTAGTTTCTCTCTAGCATATTCCTCTCGTCTCTGCAGGCTGGTTCACTAGCTTCCGGTTCTGCAGGCTTCTCCTTCTGCTGGCTTTGGCTTCTTCTTCCTACTAACTACCGCTATATATATGTTTCCTATACCAATCAAAGGGGAGAGCATGCGTGACCTTTAACTCTATTGGCGACAGGGTGGAAATCATTCAGTGTGCACGAGCACAGAACTACTTATAAGGTCTGGGAGGGGGATTCTCCTACTCGGCAGAGCGGATGCGTGGGATGTGCCATTACCGGATGTGAGCGCCATCTTAGAAGGGCTGGGGTCCGACCTCGGCCGCGGCTCGGACCTCTACACTATATGTTACCTATGTCTACCTATCTATGTCTGTATCTAGCTATCTGTGTCTATATCTACCTATTCATCCATGTTTCTATATATTTGGTCTGTGTGTGTACATGACAAGATGGTTACTAGAATGTTAGTAGTAGTTCTCTCAAGGTGGTGGAACTTTATGTATCTTTTTTCTTTTTTTA